CCTTGGAGCTAGTTTCACCAGGAAGAAATGAAGAACATATACAGGTCAATTCGTTGAAGGAAAAGTTGATCACACAAGAAACACTAGGCACTACGGACAGAATACGGGGATGTCTTTGAAGGACTAGGATGTTTTCCAGGAGAATATCACATTGAGCTGAAGGAGGACAACGAACCAGTTATTCAACCTCCTAGACGAGTTCCGTCAACACTTCTGAAACCCTTGAGAGAGAAATTGCAAGACATGGAACAGAAGCAAGTCATCACACCGGTCGAAGAACCAACCGACTGGGTCCACAACATAGTCATTGCACAGAAAGCAGACAAATCACTCAGACTTTGTTTGGATCCGAAGGAACTGAACAAGAACATAAAGCGAGAACAGTTCGAAATTCCAACGTTCGAAAATATCTCAGCGCAACTAGAAGGCACACAGGTGTACAGCATATTGGACCAAAAAGATTCATATTGGCAGGTGAAATTAGATGCACCGAGTTCATACTTGACAACTTTCAATACGCCTTTTGGAAGGTATAGGTTCTTAAGAATGCCGTTTGGAATAAGCAGTGCATCAGAGATTCTGCAAAAGAAAACTTTTCAAACATTTGGAGACATAGAGGGAGTGCATTGTTTGGCTGATGACACTTTAATAGCAGCCAAAAACGATGAAGAACATGACAAGATCATGCGCAAAGTGCTTAATAGAGCAAGAGAAAGCAATGTGCATTTCAATGGAAAAAAATCACAACTCAGAAAATCAGAAGTGAAGTACATGGGAAGAATCATTTCCAAGGATGGTATAAAACCAGACCCTGCGAAGGTCAAAGCCATAAGTGAAATGCCACTGCCCGAAGATAAAACTGGAGTCAAAAGACTACTTGGGATGGTAAATTTCCTGAGCCCATTCATCCCGAATATGTCTACCATAACAAGTCCACTGAGATCTCTGCTAAGGAAAGATGTGCCATGGCATTGGTACTCTGAACACACAGAAGCAGTGAACAAACTAAGAGAAATATTGAGCCAAAATCCTCTTCTGAAACTGTTTGACTCAAAGAAGCCAGTGACAATCCAGTGCGATTCTTCAACAAAGGGACTAGGGGCATGCTTGCTCCAGGACAACCAACCGATCGCATATTCATCAAGATCTTTGACAGAGACAGAAGCAAACTATGCAAACATTGAGCGTGAGCTCCTGGCGATAGTGTTTGCTGCAGAACAATTCCACCAATTTATTTTTGGAAGAGAAGTACTGGTAATCAGTGATCACAAACCATTAGAGACGATCTTGAGAAAACCATTGCACAAAGCTTCGCCAAGAATTCAACTGATGATGTTACGACTGCTCCGATACAAACTGGATGTTCAGTACAAACCCGGATCTCAGCTATACATTGCAGACACATTGAGCAGAGCCTCACCACCGTTAACACACCAAGAGAGACAGGAAATTCCCCAGGAGGAAATACTGAGAGTACACTGTACGACAGTCACAATGCCTGCCACAACAGAGAAACTAAAAGAAATCAAAAAAGAAACCAAGTCAGACAAGATACTGAGAGATGTCTTACAATGGGTGAAAAATGACTCATGGCCTCAACAGAAGAACATGTCAATGACAGAAAGACACTACTACAAACTCAGACATGACATGCATGAGGAAAATGGAATGTTATTCTTCAATAACAGAATGGTCATACCCGAAATCATGAGGGAAGAAATGTTAACCAAACTGCACACAAGTCACCTTGGTATCGATAAAAGTAAGGCCAGAGCCAGAGAGAGCATCTATTGGCCAAGAATATGTACTGACATTGAGGAGAAGACGAAGAAATGTGAAATATGCGCTAGTAATCAACCACAAAATGCAAAGGAACCAATGATTCCTCACGATCCACCATCTATCCCTTGGGTCAAACTAGGAGCAGACATTTTTGAATTTGGGGGAAAATCATACCTTCTTGTTGTGGATTATTATTCAAAGTATCCTGAAGTAGCATATATGAACAACAAGACAGCACAGTCGGTGATCAGGGCCTTAAAACCAATTTTTGCAAGACATGGGATACCACAGGTACTCTTCGCTGACAACATGCCTTTCTCCAGCTACAAGATGAAAGAATTTGCAACAAGCTGGAACTTCGAAATCA